CATCACCTTAAACGAAATTGGGTGAATACATCTCATATTACTGATTTATTGGTAGTCACGAAAACAATACCTAATTCGAAAAATAACAGTAAAGTAGTCGATTGTTATAGCAGTATACGTTTGCTTCATCGACAATCCCAACAAAGAATGTGATATGGCAAAATGTCTGGCCTTCCTTGAAATTCACATCTGCCCTGCGACCCAAGGGAAATTGTGGCAATGTGGCCCAATGGTTAGCATGTCAAGCTCCCATTCTGTACTGTCACTGTTCGACTCCCGCTGGGGTTGTTGATAAGACTGATGCGAGGTCGAAATTGCAGTCCACTTCAGCCTGGATGAGAACAACTTTTGGGAAAGCAAGGCTTTGTGAAATTCAATGGAAACTTCAGCTCAACTCGTATCATTGTGGGGAAATTCTTCTTCTACCAGTCATTCATCACCTTAAACGAAATTGGGTGAATACATCTCAAACTGGCTTTGACAAGACTTGATCTCTCGCTGATCAGTTGTGTCTTTTTTAGGCGCCATCTTTGAGATTGAGCTAAAATTGCTCTATCGATAATATTTCTAAAGTATCGTTTATATACAATGCTTCTAGACGCTTGTTTTATCTCATCTATCACACCATATCTCATCTTATCTATCTTTATATATACATATATCATTTCTCTATAAAAGTATCTTCTTGAGTCTTCCGCTTTACTCTATCGCATGTACACCTTGGGTCAAGTCAATCCCACATTCGCCTCGGTGGGATTCGCTTTCGTGAGACTTGTATCCAAGAGCATGCAGAGCAGCATGTGAACCTGAGTTCAATGCAGTTCCAGGCACTTGGTCGCCCATAGCAAAGCAAAGCTTTCCCAGTTTGCCCTCATCTAAGGCTATTTATTATCTCATAAAATAACATCATTTTGTGAACCGACTCCTTTTGTCCTATAAACAAAATGTTTTTATCACCTAAGTTGGATACTGAGTACAGCCTGGGTGATAGATTTCACACCAGCCAGACTAGGCGGCACAACGACTCTTTGCAGTATACCGACACACCGGGTTACTTGGAGGATACATAACAAGTATGCATCGGTTATCAACAACTCGTAGAGGTAAAAGGGCAAACCTTAAGGAGGCACTTGGCAGCAGCCGGTGGGCGTAAACCAACGCTTTAATTGCTCAGAAAAGGTACAACTTTTTTATCGACATAACTAACCGGACATCCGATGCGTCAACAGGCTAATCGAATTGAGGCATAATCCGCGATGACTACACTATCTTAACAACTACCTCAGGCGAGGCAAGCGAGCCTGTCGCCACGGTAGCAATATAACCCCAAACGGCCAATCGGGCAATGGAAAGGTAGCAATTCGATGGTTAAACTTTGGATGGCACCCTGTCGGAAGCGAGCAGGCCTTAGAGCCTTTTACCAGCTCAGACACAAGCGCCTACGTCAGTTCAACAAAAAAATGTGGGGTAAAAGCCAGTCTGATAAAGTTTGGTGGATAATTTGATTTTTGTGCCTATTTCTGCTGTCTGCTTGCTATGCACACGCTTTTCTCCTTTGTTCAGAAAGATTTGCTTGTATCTCACCTTCTCTCTGCAGAATAAAGGATGGACCGTAATCGAACCGAGATAAAGGCTCGGACAACACCCTCACATTCTAGCCCCTAAGTCTTTGACCGAAGAAAGATCACGTTTTCTTTCTTAACATAATTTGGCTGACATTTTTAAAACACGTTTTTGTCCTTAAGCCCTTCTTAATTCATTCAAAATAAGCCCATTCCTCAAAAAAACAATTTCATCTTTTTTTAATCATCACGCTGCTTTTGAAAGCAACCTTGATGTACATAGAGATGTTTATCCTATTTGTGCAAAAAAATTCAAGCTGATATTCCGTTGGTGCTTATTTCACTGTTAACCTTTCCTATTTCTGAAATTTCTGATGAATCGAATGCTCGAACAACTCCTAATTAACTGTAGAAAGATGATTGTCGTGATTCAGCCTGTTCATCGCACGGACCTACCCCAAACTCCTCGTTGGTGTGTTAGACGCACCAAACATGCTGCACAGTCTTGAGTGCTCTGGACAAGTTCTGAGAATATTCTCATTCTTCGTCCTAGCTTGCTCGATTCCTTGACAATTTTATAACGAATCGAACTTTAAATTGTCCAGTGGGTTCGCCTCTTTGTCGCAACTTGGTCTTGTCGTCATGGCTAGTAGAACGCACCTAGTCCGAAGTCGTCTGCCATAGTAGTTGTCATGATTCCCAGCATCAGACAGTGGAGTTGGTACATTCTCAATCGTTTCGCCGGCGTCGTACTCGGCATCATCCGTGAGTTTAGCCATTCTCCGCACCAAGCCATGAACTCGTTAAAAGAGACAAGTGAAGTCAATCCATCGACAAACTTTCTGCCGAAAACGGTTACACTATCACTCCTCTTTCTGTGCGGAGAATGACAAAATTCACTGACGATGCCGGCAAAATATTTGAGAAGGTACCAAGTCCACTTTCCGATGCTGGGAATCATGACAACTACTATGGCAGACGACTGCGGACTAGGTGTGTTCTGCTAAGTAGCCCTGACAACAAGACCATGTTGCGACAACGAGGTCAACGCACTTCTATAGATCGAAAGGAGATTGCGACTATACCAGAGGCCACAACATCTTGGTCTTCATATTTTCAATTAATATACAGTTAATATTTACTTTTATTATTTGTATCGTTATGTATATGCGAATGTGTATCTTGGCTTTTCTGTCTCTCTCTATCTTTATGTATACATATATATATATATATATATATACAATTACAATTTATGGATAATATGTATGTGTATATAAGGACACTGCACAATAATTTTGGGAGAATATATATATATATGGCAATATACCGATTTATAAATGTAAATAATACTGATTAAATATAATCGTAAAGTGTATATTGCGAAAAAATGGAGTTAGATTCCTTGGAAGAAATTATTTGAGAATCGAGTAAGCAAGTGTAAGGAACAATATTATTCTCAAAGTATGCTTATACATATAATACCATATTGTAGGGAGTATTTGGAGATTGCCATCTCATCTCATATGCTCTGGCGCAGCTGGATTTAGTAGTTTTGACTTGCAATTTAGGATATTTTGTCAAGATTGAGCCATCGAGGCGATTTCACAACTCACTGTCCCTTATCAAATGCTCGATGCCATGTTCGGATGCTAAATTTGCAAACTCCGCAGCTATTTACCTCTACATCTGTCCCGAGATGGAGCGTATTTCGTCTCAGTTGCCCGAACCATGCAAAGCAGCTCCAGTCGGAGAAAGTTTCCCCCTATTAGGTCCAATAGTGGAGAACACTTGGTTGAATAGACAAGCTGGAATGAGACTTAATTTTGAGTGCAAAATATTTCAGGCTTCCATCAGAAATAACCTGTTCCAATCTAGCATCAATGAGAAGAATGCGGTTCAAGCGCGATGACTTCGCAAAAGAAGAAGCCGAATAATAGCCGTCAATAATAGCCGCATGTTCAATAGGCTGAGTGATTTTAACAGTATTATTTGACATATCTACGAAGACAAAAAGAAAATACTTTATTTTTCTTTCTTTCCAATGCACTGTGTAATTTGGTGATGTATCCGTCATCCCTAGTGAAGTGAGATTGTCACCGCGAAGGGAGTCGAACTCTACATGTCTATGGTGTTGCCCTAGAACATACACCTCTTATTTCTAGACCTAAAGGCGGCACGAGTGAACCCGAATGTTGCAAAACGATTTCTAAAATCCATATTGGGAGATATTTACAGACTAGTGAAGAAGGTTGATACAGAGGACACATTCAGGAGATGAGTAGGTAGCCGAATATGATTAAGAATGGTCAGGACAAGCCGCTGCTGAAATAGCGAAATAGAACTATTAACTAGTGGACGGAACTATGCAGTGTATTGTAAAATCTTCTCAACCGTCTCTAGGCAATAAAAATTTTCCCGAAAATCTTGTAGTTTTGATAAGTATGTACAAGATTTTTTCCCGTCTGTGTGTAGTTGTATCATTGCGATTATGAAATTAATGCTCTGTGATAATGTGGTACCTCATAATCTGAGGAATTTTACCCGCAAGGGCCAAGATGTCATTGTAAGGATTTTTACAATCTACATATTAGTTG